TGAGAGTGCATTTTTAAATCATGCTCTAGTTCATCGTGAGCATATTTGGAATTCACTAATTTTAAGCAAATTTCCAATACACTTCTTGGGTAAAAGTAATGTTAGTCAGCTATCACAACCAGCTGGCCACCACTACTCTTCACTGACCACTATCGTTTCCATCGTTCTTTATCATCCCTGCCTTTCATTGGTTTCTAGCAACATTATCACCCATCACAAACCATTGATATTGCTGATCACCACCCATCTACTGACTGTCATTGCCAACATCACTGCTCATCACAAACTTTCGTCCCATCATAATTAGTTGCGTCTGTCGTAGCCCTCTTTTCTCACTGTCAACCACGTCCAATCAACTATTGCTATTTTTTTTGTATTCCCTTACATTAACTAAACAAAAAAAAAGTAAATTCTTAAATTTACAAGTGTACTCAACCAAACAGCTCAAATGTATTTAAAATACACTTTTTACTTTGCAATGCATTCCTTTTTCATCAAATCAAACATAACAATTGAAACTAAAAATCATAGGATGGAAATCTTTTACACTGCATTTCTTTTTCATTAAACCAAACTCATCATGCCATCTAGAATTAGTAGTCATGCAGAGAATGTTGGTTGTAGAATATTAATTATTTAATTTAAGCATCATGGTTAAGAAACTACTTTGCCATGTTATGGGGGGGATACACCTCTTTGAAGTATAACTTTATTTGATGATACTTATTTCTTCACAAGAGAGTTAGAATATGTAATAACCTCAAAATTTAATTTCACTAAAATTCTTGTAAATTTAAAATTTTGGCTAAGAGCAGTATGATGTTGTGCTTATAAAGCATTACAGCACCAATCTCTCAGGACTACAAGGGTTTGAGTAAGCACTATAATTATAGATAAAAAAACATTTTAAAATAAAATATCAAATCTCATTTATATCAAAATACTCACCCCTCCATTTCTTTGCATGGCCAGATAAGAGAGGAGAGGTAAAGGGTGAGATAGGAGTAGAGATGAGAGAGAGAGAGAGAGAGAGAGAGAGAGAGAGAGAGATATTTGGGCCATAATTTTCCATTGCTCGAGTTAAGAAAAGAGCTTTGGCCGTGGTAGGTAACCTTAACCCTACATCTATTTTCAATTATTTCTAGTTGTATTAATTTTTTCACTCTTAAATTTGATAAAAATACAATCACTTCTATTTTGGTGAACTTCCATTGGAGGGGTGAGTATTGATATATGGTAGATATTATCATCCTAAATATTTTGACATGTTCATATTCAGATTTCACTGGTTAGTTTACATATATGTCTTTTTTATTATAAATAAGTAGAGTAATGCCAAGTATAAAATGAACAAGAGTTAGTATACTAAATTTAGACATAAAAATATATGTTATGCATAAAGTTATTGTTCATCTATTCTAACATGTATTTTGGCATAAAATGTGCGTACTAATGAGCACACTAAATAGATTTACATGCTATGATAATTAAATAAGATGTGTGCACAATATTTGTATATTATTATGAAATATATGATATAAAATGTGGAAAAGAAAAAATGCTGGATGAAAATGACTAACTGATTCAAGTTGGTTGGAGATATGCTATCATATACAAGAGAGTAGATTGATGAGCTTTCCTTTAGATAAGTTTTAAGGTGTGGTCCTAAAAGACATGAAAAGGGAAGTATAAGGAGAATGGTTGATATGATATGATACACTAACGTGTATGAAATGAAGATTTTTTATATGAAAGCTACTTAACTTGTGACATATGATTTGAGATTGATTCTATTTACATAGTTGATATGAGTAAGACTGATTCTTATTTTGTTGGAAAGGCCTGGACTTAATACAAGTAAAACACCATGAAAGACAAATGTCCCACCTTCCTTATAATATGATTCTCATACATGTTAGTATTATTTATTAATAGAATAGAGCATGGCATGATATGAATATGACATAAAACAGACTTATACAAGCACAAAACACAACTGATATAATGATATATAATACATATGAAATTCATGATATACATGATGCATTACACTTTATATAATATGATGTACATGCATTGATACTATATGACATATATAGAACATATGCGACACACTTGCGTGATATGATATGTATACTGATATGCATGATATGTCATATACATAGAAATAGGGTTTAAATTATAAACATGTATATTCATGAGTTTAACTATGACATTGTATTAGACATGAGTATAGGAATAGCATAACATACTAATCTTTTATATGATTACTTATCACTAATTTTTAAATTACATTATTTTTATTGATTCCCACTGCTCATATGAATTGCATTATTCATATTGAGTGTCACATGTTCTTATTATTTCATGTTTATGTTGATATGGATTGAATGATTACATGCATGTTGTTTATATTACTTCACATTAATAGTAGTGGTAGGTTTTGGTAACCTACTGGGTTGTTAACTCACTATGTGTTTTTGCAAATTTATTAAGAATGGGTCAAGATCTGGTAGAGCAAGGCTGATCTTATTTTGGGATTTCAGGTTTAGATATACGTACTTTCTTATATTATTCTTTTTTAGCTATGAGTATTGAAAGATGGACAAATATATTGATTGGACTTCTAGCTACTATAAATGGATTTTGATGAATAATTACACACACACACACACTTTTGCTAAGTCTTAGATAAATGGATTTAGTAGCTCCGATAAATTAATTATGAGACGAATATGAAATTCTTTCACATTAAGATTCTAGGGTATGAAAGGATAAGTGAATGTTGATTTGAGATTATCAAAATTGAAATGAAGCCAGGTGAATATTTTGAGTGGATCCTTCGAATGAATTTAGTACTTATCTCAATTGAACCTAGCATATTATTTATTTTTTTAATGGACTAAGTTATATCTGAAAGTCAAATCTTCATGCTAGATGGACTGTGTTGATTGAGCATGAAAAAATGAGGCATCAAAGTACTTGAGGCTTGATGCCAATGATAAGGTTAACACTCATTGTTGCCACTAAAATTGATGCCCATTGTCACCTTCAAGGTTGATGCCCACCATGATCATTGAAGGCCTACTTAGACCATCACCAGTAAGGGCGACCCCATTGTCAGTAACAATGCCTATGATCATCATTGCCAACAAAGTAGATTATCGTCGCCAATATCAACACCAACACCCATCATTGACATTTTGCTAAGGAGGATAATTGAACATATCGTCAATCATCTCCTGACGACTACTCTGAAGCCTCAATACTCCTTTTACTTCTATCATCGAAGCCTTTTTTTTCATAATTTATATTTATTATATTATATCATTGTTTTCTCTAATTACTGGGAAATGCTTTCTTTAAAATATACAACTCACACTAGTATAAATATTCTATTAGAGCTAACCCCAATGTTTTTTTTTATTCTTTCCAAAATTTTTACATAAAAAATCTCATATTTTTATGAGCAACTCTCAACTATCTTATTACATATGCATAATATTTTTGGATATTACTGAAACAATAAACTCGTTAATGCAAAAAATAAGTTCACATAATAAATATCATATTTGTGTTTGACTTGTTTAATAAACAAATTTATTAAGAAAGTTGAATTTGAGCTAATTACTTAACTGAGAATGCTTAAACATGAACAACATGTTTATTTTGACACCTACACCTAACAACCCAAGAAAATTGGATTCAGGATGGCTCAACTAAGATTCATGTCTTATGTTTTGACATGCACATTAGATAGGTCAAAATCGAGTTAGGCATATGTAGGTTGGTTGACACCCAAAATCAATCAATTAACCAAAGATTAAGATAAATGGTCTATCTTTGCATATTTTAAAAATATTCAACTTAGATATTATAATGTTAAATAGGTTATATTTGGGTTATATTGAAACCCAATAAGTTATTAGGTTAGGCAGATATATCAAAGTACACAACTATGTTATACAATACATTTGAATACACAATTGTGAATACACATCCACAAGAAGCTTTGATATATGGAGATAGGAGTGTCAAAATAGGTTTTTTGGTCAGGTTCGAGTCCAACTTGAAATTGACCCTGCCTTCAATTGATCTGATCTGAACCCTACCCGATTAGATAAACGGGTTAGAAATTTAGACCCGGACTCGAACCGCTAACCAGTAGGTGGGAGCAGGGTGCGAGCGTAAGGCGGGGGTATTCATGACGCGATGTGGGACAGTGACCCGGGTCTATTTCAAGTTTCTTTCGGGTTTTCAGCTTGACCAAATCCGTCACGAAATTAGAAACGGGTTAGAACATGAAACCCAAACGTTACCTATTTTTTTATCTGAAAACTGAAATTTTTGGATTGAATTCGGATTGAATTTTTGAATCGTGTCGAATTTTGACACACTTACATGTAGACCTAATAATTTATCCCGAAACCCATATTGTCATTGGGCTAGACAAGTCATATTTAGATATATGATTTGTTCTATACATTAAAAGAACCGGCTTTGGCTTGAACAATTATTACGTCCTCCGACCGGACGTAGAGGAACGTCCGGTCGGAGGCAAATTTCTGCCAAATACCGAGTTGTACCGAGTAAACACCGAGCAATATCAAATAATAACGAGGAATAACATCATGTGAAGACCCAATACCGAGTTATTTCGAACTATCTTGAGCAATACCGAGTTATACAAAAGTTGTATCGAGTATTTCCTAGAAAAAACTCGGTACAACTCGGTATTTCTCGATATAGCTCGGTATTGGTCTTCAAAAAGCGGTATTCATCGTTATTATCAAATAATACCTAGTTGTACCGAGAAAACACCGAGTTTTTTGACGAAAATTTGACTCCGACCGGACGTTCCTCTACGTCCTTGCACCGGATGTAATAAAAGTTCCTTTGGCTTAAGCATACACTGACCGGATCAATATCGGGTCTAACAAGCCACTACCCAAATGAAGTATTGTTAATAGCAGGTTTGAACGAACGGCTAATATCGAGTGTTGGATGAGTCCAGTAAACGATGGGCGGGATCAATACCGTTTAAGTTAGGGCTTCAGGTATTTTATGCTCCTTCTCCTTCCTTCAAGACCCTGAGCCGCAGCATCTCGGGCGCCGGAAGTTGGAGGTAGAAAGCTAACGCGGCGTCGGCATACCGTAAACCCACTGTCCTTCTTCCTTTTAACTTTTTCAATACCTCTTTTCAGTTTTTCTTCAGCTTCTTTTCATCCTAAATAGAGAGCATTTCTCTTATTTTGTTTGTACCGAATCCCTAACTTGAATATGCTTGTGATTTTTAAGTTGCAAACCAATTCCTGCTACTATGTGCTAGAAGTTGATGATTTGGGAAGAATTACTGGCTGATTTTAGTATTGGTTTTAATCGATTTGAAGGATGCAATTTGAACAGCCTTTTCTAAGTTCTATTTTAACCGACTTCAATTTTCTTGCTATTTTAAAGAAGTTCTTGTGATGAGATAAAAATTTTCACAACTGGATCGGTATATTACCCAACTTTCAAAAGCTTTATTTTTTCGCAATAGTTTTACAACTAATTCTATATGCGGCTACGGCCGTCGGGAAAATGTTTTTATTACTTGTAACATGAAGGCGAGCTATTAGGTGTTATGGTTTAGGAGGAAGTTTTATGCCTTCTTTTCGTTTTTTTTTGGAACCTGTAAGTTTTATGTTTCATGTCTTCTGCAGTACTGGTATTCCTGGAAAGTGAAATGATTTCTGGTATTACTGGACTGTCTGATTCAGTGAAATCTGCTATATGATATTTTTGTTATTGGCAAGATTTCAGTTGTTTGGTTTGCTAACTTATTTAAATATATGAGATATGTAAATATTATCTCATACTTTGTTGGTATGTCTTGTGGCATCTTGATATCTAACACTAAACCAAAATTACCAATAGCATCTTGATAATATTCATATTATTTATATCTTAGGAACATGAAAATCTTAGTAACTAAACCATATACCCCATGTCTGATTTCCTAGAGATTGTCTTTAAGGATTTTGACAAGATTAATATTTTTTCTACAAGAGATGCTATTCCCTTTGAGATCACTAACACAATATTTCTGAAGTAACAAGCAAAAACTTTGACTTCAAGAAAATAATCTCTGTTTATAAATAAGCAAGGGGGACATGCAACCCAATAAAGATTTTATTTTTGGCTTGTGAAATTGTTGCATTGACCTTTTTGTGTGTATGTTCTCATTTTTCAAAATACTTCACATTTAGAAGTAGAAAATTTATTTAGAAAGCAAGAAGAAGATGTTGTTAATTAGTTCTTAGAGCTTAATATCATATTTCTTATATAAGTTACTACTTAATCGGTAATCCTTAATTATAAAAAAAAGTCTTAGTAACTTGTAATATTATTCTTCTTTTCACGTTTTGTATTTTTGAGTGTTTATTGCATTATCAATTTTGGCCATATTTGTATAGTTAGGGATGATAATGAGAGTTAGATTTTGACCCAATATCATGCATAAATCACAAGATGATAGATCTATATGTTTTATGCTTTGCGTGAAAGCTTAAAAATATATCAGGTCATTTATTATGTATTGACTTAGTATTTATGTATGCATTATATGGTAAAGTATATTTCAACCTCATTTATGAAATCCTTAAAATGTGCTAGGTGATTTTACATAAGTTAGATTGTTATACATCATAGATTCTTATATAAGTTAATGCATGGAAGTGTAAGGCAATCTTGAGCTTCTTGTGAAGGAGTTTAGAAGGAATTGATAAGAGAGATAATAGGGGAGAGGACAAAGAATGATATAGGGATATCAAGAAACTCATTTTCAAGGGATCAAATTATCATTTTGAAGAATTGATGGTAACTTTTTAAGGAACTTCTAAAATTGATATTTTTATGTTTTTAATTCTCCTTCTTTGTTATCTATGTTAAGTCATTCTCTTCCCTTAACAGACTTGTATTTTCTCTTTTTTTCTTTGTTAAGCAATGGTGTACTTGAGATTTTGAAAGGGGTGATGAGTGCTTTTTAATTGTACACATACTTTTTGCCTTTTTGTTAGAGCAGATCTTCTCCTCTCCTGTGGGCTTAAACTTGCTTATGTTGAACATTATAGATTTGTTTTACTTTTTGTGGTGCTTGGTCTCTTTTGCAATTATTTTATGGTTCATTGTATTTGTTCATGGATTGATGCTTCCATGAAGTTGGACTATTCTTTTCTGATTATCTGGTATAAAGAGTGGAGATTTATAAGGAATACGAAGATGTAAAGTTCAAGATCAAACATTTGATGGTTCAAAGATTTTTTGGAGTTTCATGATGCTTGGTTTTCTAAACCCGTAGTGACTTATGAAGTCACTAATCGGTGTATCAAGATTTTTGGAGCTATGAGTGAAGAAGACTAAGATAATGAGGGATGAGAAAGCTCTCTATCATTGCTATTTAATCCATTTTATTCATTATCTCTATCATATTATTCTCTTACGGCTTGAATGATTCAAGGCTTCTCTTTTTTCTTTGTTAAGAGAGAATGTACTTGAGTTTTGGGAAGGACTAATGAGTGTTCTTTTATTGTACAGCATGATTTGTTTCATTTTTGTTAGTAATTAGATGATCTCTCATTTGTTGTCGACATATGTTATTATATTAGATCCTCTATTATCTTGTGGACATAGGCTTACTTTAGTTGATTAGCACAAATATTGATTTTTTTGTGGTGTTTGATCTTATTTGTAGTTATATTATGGTTCATCGAATTTGTTCTATGTTTTTGTAGACATTATTTCTTGAATAGTTGGTATCAAACTAGAGCTTATGAGAAATATGATAACATGAAGTTTGAGATTGAGATGTTTTGTGGCTCAAAGAGTTTTGTGCTTTGGAATTGTAAGATGTGTGGTGCTCTAATTCAATATGGACTTGTTAAGGCAATTCCATGATTGAAGAAGATAGGATAATGATGGATGAGAAGCCTCGCTTAATTATTCTACTAGTGTGCAAATGAATCAATAGGCTAAAAAGTTACTCTTGACTAAGGTTGGTCAGACTTGTTAATGATTGTTTAATTAACTAAACAAATTTAAAAATTTTCATAAATATTCAATTAATAAATGAACAAGCATGAATAGTCAGTTGCTCTAATTTATTATAATTAATAATATTATATAAAACTCACGAAAAATATTTTTACAAAGCTCAATTAATACTCAATAATACACTTATTTAATTCTTGATAATCTGCTTGTTTAGAAACAAATTCATGTTTAAGACTTTGTAATAAATTCATTTAATACTTTAAATATTTAATTATTACATCATTTGATATATCTAAATTTTTTATTTATTTTAGTTAAATAAAATGTTGTATGTTTTATGTTCATTAAGCAGATGTTTGATAAGGCTTGTTCAATTAGCAACCTAGTTGTTCGATAGTTTTGTTCATTTATAAGTTTTATAAGGCCCATTCAGTTAGCGGACTAGCAGGTCGATAGTTTTATTTATTAATAGACTTGATAAGGCTTGTTTGTTGTAACAAATATATAAATAATACGACTTGTAATTGGCTTAATAAGGCTCTTTTATTTTTCCAAGTGAGCTACTCGGTTATAGCTCGGCAATCATAATGTGAAATGATCTTGAGCCAAGCTCAATTCTAGTTCATACATCCATGTTATTAAATAAACTTAAATCAAGCTCGAGCCAAGCGCAATCAAGGTTTTTTTAAAATGAGCATTCGAGCTCAAGCAAGCTCTTGATTGACTTGGTTCAGTTCATTTGTTGTTCTAGATTCAATTATATTTGGTAAATGATGTTTTTGACAGTGGCCTTAGAGGAAAAAACTGCGAAAGTTTTGTGGCTCAAGCTTTAGTTTTTGTAAATGGCCAAAAGTCTCTCAACAAACTTTATTAGAAGTAAAATAACTCTACTTGCTTCTTGTGCATGTCATTATGTTATTAAATTGCATTTAAATGTGTTGAATTTCATCATTTGAGATTCAAAGAATATTAATGTAACTGTTGAGGATAAAGTTTATGCTTTGTTGCTATTGTTCGCTTTATCTCCTTCTGAGCATTTTTGGGAAACCATGCTGTATGGATGTAACACAATAAGTTTAGAGGATGATAATAGTTAACTTCTTTCAAAGGCGGTTGAGAGATGACGATCAATTGAAGGTTTATTGTAGGATCTTATAAGCATGAGTGCCTCTAGTCATGCTAGGTACAAGTTTGTAGCAAGTTTTAGAATATTAATTCCTTTTGCTGTAAGAAGAAAGTTTATATAAAGAGGGATTGTCATGGTTTAAAGAGGAAAAACTGCTTGCAAATGGTAACAACAAGGAGAAGTTGGGCGATGTTAATGTAATTGCGTATTGGTTTGGTTTTGATATTAGTGATATTTTTTTTGGTGATTGATGAAGATAGGTGCTAAAAGTCATGGATTATGAGCTCAACTTTTATTCAAATGCATTATATTTTGGAGATATTTTTCACATATGAGCTAAGTTATAACCGTTGCATTTTCATGAAAATGGAGTTCTGCAAGACGAGAGATTTTGCATGGTGGAGTTGTGGATGCATGAGGTTGTGTTTGTTTCGTTGATTGGAGTCAGGTATGTTCTAAAATGGAGAAAAAATATATTAATTTTAAGTGCTCTCAGTGTTGTAGGATGTATATTCTCTAGTAATGCTAATACCTTTGAGGTTTGTACGTTTGCTTTGGTTATCTTGAAGAAAAATAGACTTGGTGGATCTATGTATTACATTATGCAATACCCAATGTTGATGATTTAGATTTGATAACCTTAGTGAAACATCTAAATTTAGAGAAGCAAAAAAGAGTTAGCATTTAGTTTTTGGGAATTGTTCTGGAATGAATAGATGCACAAGTTGAGGGAGGGATTTAAGAGATGGTTAGAGTACTCTATCACATAGTCTTTCTCAATACTAGTTTGTACAGTTACAAAATTTAAATTGAATATATGCTTATTTTATGATAAAAAATTTAGTAGGCGCACGATGGTTTTAGCAGGTACACCTTCATAATGTAATATTTGTGCTACACATCTCTCTTGTAGATACTCAACTCGGACGAAATTTTATGCTTGATGAGTCTTCCAGGGTTTTGTCGTTTTAGAGTGATTGCCTTGAAGAGGAGTTATAAAGCAGATGCGTTTCATTATAATATTAAGTTAAGGGTGAGATTTGTTAGATATTTACTAATTATCATACATGAATGACATTGTGAGGTAGTTTACAAGCTTTTTATGTGAAATTATGTTGGGTATTGACTTGATTTAATATTCATGCATGAAACACCTTGTGGGTAGGTATCAATCTTCTTGTGTAAAAGTTTGAAATTGTTGTGATTTTGCAGTAGTTAGGTATTTTTGCAAGGGGTGGTAGCTATATAAGTTTGAAATATCATTGTAACAAATTGATGGTACCTTAATTTGAGAGATTTGGTGCCACTTTTTTTTTCTTTATTGAGCGGGAGTTTATTTAGGTTTTTGAAAGGGTTGGTCATGTGTTTTTATTATACATTATGATTGTGACTTATTTGATAGTAGATCAAATACTCTCTCCTCTCTTTTGGATGTAGGCTTACTTAATTTGAATTGCATAAATGTTTCTTGATTGCTCTAGTATTTTTAAATAGACACCAAAAAACATTTTCTTCAAGTTGATTTTGAGACCAAATGTACTACTTTTATGACATGTTTTCTAAATTTCGTATTGTTCTTATATATCATTTGATTTTAAACTCAAAACTAAGCACAATATGTGATAGATATCACTTTCATAATAATACCGCTTATATCTTAGTAAAAGTTAACCATACATTGCACAGACACGATTTCTTAGATATCGCCATCAATGATTTTGATAAAATCAATTAATTTATTTGGAAATGACGTCCACTTCAAAAGCACTACGAAGAAATCTTCCCTGAAGCAGCAAATAAAGATTTGGACTTTGAAAAATCATTCTATTTGACTAATAATAAGAAAAGGGTCTATGCAGCATTGTAACCTTTTGTTTTTGTGCTGTAACTTGATGCATCAGAGGATTGGCTTTTTACTTGATTATTATCTAATTATTGAAATTCTTCATGTTGACGGAGCAGAATCTTGTGGAAAGCAAATATTTTGAGGAAGAGGATGATATTTCATTTGATATTAGAGCTTGATAATATCATTTTCTATATAAACTCTTTGCCCTGAACTGTGAAAATTGGCTTTTAAGAAGTTGTGATTATGTGTTAGCATTTTGTCTTGTCTTATCTTTTGATTGTTGCATTCTCAGTTTTATCAGATATGTGAGTTATTCTTGTGATGATTTATCTTTTTCCAATTGCGGTTTCTAGGTATAATCATGGTGAAGCACAATAATGTAGTGCCAAATGGTCACTTCAAAAAGCATTGGCAAAACTATGTGAGGACCTGGTTCAACCAGCCTGCACGAAAGACCAGAAGACGTGTTGGTAGGCATCTTGCACTATGTTATTTACAAATATCCTGAACTAGCTGTTTGTTCAGACTTGGCCCTCATTTGGTACAGCTTTCTTACTGCTTCTTAAAGCAGATTTTTAATAAAAAATTAAAAATTCTATACTAAAAAATTGTGTTAAGAAGCAACAAGAAAGCCGTTCCAAACGAAGCCTTTTAGATTATTTTTAATTGTTTCATTTGATGTTTTTTTCTAATCCTATATTTAATTAATTCAACTCTTGTTGGAAATTGCAGCTAGACAGAAGAAGGCTTTGAAAATCTTCCCTCGCCCAACATCTGGTCCCCTCCGCCCAGTTGTTCGGTGCCAGACTCTGAAGTACAATATGAAACCAAGAGCTGGTAGAGGCTTTACTCTCGAGGAACTCAAGGTATTTAGCAAAGTTTATCATCAAATTTGTTCTGTTTTCCTCTTACATGTTATATTGCACTATGAGTTCACATTTTTTTTGTCAAGTTGTTAATATACAGCCATTACTGTTCTCTTTCAGATCCCTGAACCCAGTAGACCTGCCTACCCTTTTCTTTTATTTTTAACAATTTGTATTATGTTCCTGAATCTATCATCATATGAGGTCTTTATAAATTCATATATCTGGCTTTATATAGGCTGCAGGAATTCCCAAGAAGCTTGCACCCACAATTGGCATTGCAGTTGATCACCGTAGGAAGAACCGCTCCTTGGAAGGTCTCCAGGCCAATGTGCAAAGGCTGAAGACATACAAAGCTAAGCTAGTCATTTTCCCAAGACGTGCAAGGCAATTTAAGGTGAATTATACTATCAAAACTTGTTCTCTTAGTAACTTTGTTTCGCATATGGTACTGGTGAGATATATTTTTCCTCAATTATATTATATAGGCTGGTGATTCCACTCCCGAAGAGCTTGCTACGGCCACCCAGGTGAAGGGTGACTATATGCCTTTTGTGCTTGACAAGCCTTCAGTTGAGATTGTGAAAGTCACAGATGAGATGAAGGCTTTCAAGGCTTATGGAAAACTTCGTGTTGAGAGAATGAATGCTAGGCAGGTTGGTGCCAGGTTGAAGAAGGCTGCAGAGGCTGAGAAGGAAGAGAAAAAGTGAAAACCCTGATGCAATCCATGACCAATTAGCCGAAGAGAGAATCTGTTTGCTTTTTGTCACTTGTCAGTTTTTTTTTTATTTTAAAAAAGATTTGACGGTTGCTTTCAAATGTTGGGACTAACGGTTCCTCTAGAATCTCTAGATGTACCACTTTGCTACTTAATTTCATCATGCTTTCAACTTCATCTACTTGGCTCTTATATATTTATATTTTGGTACCCCCTTCTGTTCTACTTTTGAATTATCTTAGTGTTAAGAGTTATTGTGTTTAATTTTTATTATAGAAATCTCTAATATTTATTATTATAATATAAAATTATTATTATTAAGTATATTTTTATTAATTTTATCTTATTTTAATTATTTTTCATGTCTCGACTAAACTGGTTGCTTGCATGGATGATTATTTGTTGCATGTCATGACAAGAATGATTTGTTGAGCTGTTTTACTAAAACAATTGCTAGCAAAGGTTTTGTTGGATCCAAATATTTTTTTTTTTGGATGATACTTGATGTTATTAGCAGGCATGCTTAGTGAGTGAGTGTGTTGGAATCTATGTGAGAATGGAGAGTAGAGCTAGAAAGATAATAAATAGAATAATAATAAAAATAATGAATCACGAACTAGCATTGGAATCAATAAAAAAATAAATACTTAAATCATTTTTCATCTCTCTTTATTTATGGGATTTTGAAAGGTATAGGAAATGTTATATCAAAAAAAAAAAAAATTACAACTTTATACAAATGTCTAGACATGATGTGATCCTTTGATTGGTTGAAAGAGGATGAGGTATGAAGGGCTTCAATGAGTTATCTTTGGGTGAGCTCATTAGTGTTGCGTAGCAAGTAGGCTTGGGTGAGTTAGTTGGCAAGCGTTAAGATGAGGGGACCTGTGACCAACATGTTTTTGTATGTTGCCAGTGACTTTTGTGAGAGATCTTGGATCTCCTAAGAAGTGAGTCAAGTGACATATTGTCATGGGAAGGAAGAAGCCCTTCGGATGATTACGGAAAGATGAAATGATGGTTCATTAAATAGGCATTTTTTTGTAGCTTAGCTTGACAAGATTGCATGAGGATGATTGCTTTGGAAAAGACCAAGAGATTGAGATGGTAGTCAAGGTATATGGTGGGTGTTGAGTTCCTAGCTTGATGAGATGAGAATTCTTTGATTTTCCTTACAATAGGGCAAGTTCCTTGGTAGCCTCAGGAGAGTTTTGATTGTTTTCCTACGAGTTTCAGGCAAGTAGCACCTCTTAGATCAGTAGGCGAGTTCCCGTCGTGGGCCCCCCTTGAGGGCGAGTTCCTTTAGCATGATATCTCAACTACTTGTTTAATATCTATGAAAGCATATATGAGTATGCATTTAGTTTCTCAATTCACTGGACCTTTTGGCATGTGAATGACAAAAAGGGTGAGTGAATGATTTTTAATATGATTATCAGACATAAAGCATGAAAGTAAATGGAGTGTTAATTAATACCTTCGTCGCTTGCTAACTACATTAACACTCCAAAATGTTTAAAATGGTTTGAAGCGACAAAGGTCGAAGGGATCATAGTCGGCTAGTGATGAATGTCGGATGGATCGTAATCAGTGAGTAATGATATTTAAAGGGACGATAGTCAGCGGGCAATGATTGTCACACCAAGAATCTAATTTAGAAGAATTCTCTCTTAGCTTTTAATAATAACACCACATCTCTCTAATTTTATTTATCAATAATTATCGGCAATAAAATTATAATTCAAAGTATCAATGTACATCTGTATTCGTTATTCCAAGAATTATATACATTACTCGTGAATCATACAATCATATCATCTAACCAAATCCTGATTACAAAAGAAAAACTAAAATAAAAAAAAGGAACCTGAGAAAGCCTAATTAATATCCCACTCCTGCTCCCTTGCCCTGATCTGAAATCAATTAAATCACATATAATGAGTTAAATAACCTAACAAGTTACACTAAAATCTTATAACTGAATTCCAATATATCAAAGAAGAAGTATGCATGTCATTAATCAATTCACAACAATAATAGTCATATGATCAAGAATCATTGCAGAAATAATAAAACTCACATACAGTACTATAAGAATCTATCAATAGTAAAACAGTATGGTATGTAAGCTAGTAAAGTAGTACAGTGGAAAAATCAATAAACTATTACAAGTGTCGAATCCAAAAAAAAAGTCATCATAACAGAACTATCAATCAGTAAAACAATCGTATAAAGCGGTAAAACCAAAGCATCAGTAAAAAATTGTCAAACTTAAATAACTATTGTAAAATTTTATAATAATATATACATGTTATCTAGTGAGTCTATATCAGTATCATATATGTATCTTAATCACATGCTTAGTATATCATGTGCTTAGTATATTACATATATAATATCAGTAGTAAATACAGTGAATCAATAACAGTAATAGTATTAATAACAATTCAGTAATGGTATCGACTATGGTGTTGGTATCAGTAAATCCAATAGCCGTAGCATTAAAACAATGCAATAATAATAAATATGTATAATAAATTTTTATAGTAACAGTAAATTAGTACAATATCAAGAAAATGGCATAGTAATGATGAATATGTAATATGTATTTCAGTAATCACACTTAAACTAGTAAGAAATCCTGACTATCACTATAATTTTTAGTAGTCGGTATCCTATTAGTAAAAAATGTTGTGTCAGTAAGCATATATGTCACACTTTTTCCGTCGGTACAGAAATAACTCCTTATAACTCCCAATCATTCCTTTGAAATCATTATATCATTTTATAGTTATGGATAACACCAAACCAATGTATTTAAAAGAAAGTTTGTCGGCCCACCATCTTGTATAGGTCAATCAATTTTTATCATACGATTCAACCAATCTTTATTTAGGCTTAACCAATCTATTTATCTTTTACACACATTACAATGAAAGCAATATTTACCAGCTATTACCCAATTATATACTAGTATTCATTATTAATGCTTATATTAAAAACATGCTTAGTAAAATACCTATAGAGTGAAAATGCATAATTTCAAAATATAACTAAATTATTAAAGATTGTGAAAAATATCATTTCAAGACTTTAATCGTACTACAACACTATTTTTCAAAGTCAAAATTATTTTTTATTCAATTAAAACCATACAAATTCTAAAAACTAGGTATAAAATTTTCATAAATCACTCAAAAACATTCAAAATCTAAATCTAAAAAATATATAAAAAGTTGCATTATGAAAGTTTTACAAGTATAAAGTTATCCACATTTTGCGATAATGAAAATAGAAATTTAATTAGAGAAATTGCAAAAACATCAATATTTTTAAAGCTTAGATAGGCATAATGCAACCTAACTCGGTCCAATAACTTTATCAACTGGCCTAACGACTAAAAATGGCCCGAAGCTCCTCAAAATTGAGTTTCTCTCACTAAAAATTCTCTCTTTCTTCTTCGGCGACTGTAAATAATGAAATTTAAAATATATAAAAATAAAGATAATGGCTAAGCGCTGCGGCACTAGTTTATTTTTTTCAAAAATATAAAGATTGGAGAGATGCAATGTCACTATTTGGGCGCCAGGTACTATAGCAGAGCTGAGGCACTCCGACACCTAGCGATGAGGCACTCAAATAGTTATACTTTTTAGATTTTGCCAAAATTCTATCCAGACCCAGGACTTATTCTAAAACTTACACAACTATTTTCAAGCATTAAAAGACTTCCAAATATAGTCAAATAGGTGGGAAACATATAGTCAAATTTGTACCTTTGAAAAAAAAATTAATATATTTTTTAGTTGTTACAATCAATGTTGTGAAAATAAGACCAGACACGAACCACGAGAAGGAGAGGTTCATGATTTAACCGGTTGAATTGGATGACATAATAAAAAATAATATTATTAAAAATTAATAAAATTAACATAATAATGATATTTTCATTCCAAATACTAGATAAAAAGTTAAACAAAATAAAAATTATGAAACATATAACTTACATAATTAATTAAAAGAATTATTTTAAGAGGCAAAATAATCTCAATCTCTTTAATTTCTAAGAATTTTACACTCATAATAAATGATAATTTAATATTCAATTTTTTTCAATTTTAAATTTGAATTTTAATTTTATTTAATTTACATATAACAAATCAATTTAATATAAATTTTTACTATTTAATTACAATATTCATTATAAATTTTATTCAAATATAATTTTAGGAATTTTATTATAAATTATTAATTATATTTATGTTATATTTAACTATATTTATATCATATATGTTATATACCAATTTATTCATATATTTATATCTAAAAATATTTATATAAAAACATTATCATTAATAAATAGATAAAATTATTTTTTAGTTTATAAATAAATAATAAATTACTATTATTAACTAATAAATAAATATTATTACATTATAAATAATGAATTAAAAATCTATTTAAAAATGAATTTTATGGATATTATACATGTTATTTGCTCAGAACCTCAACATATTTCTTTAGTTTCACAAAACTTGGAAACTCTTTCTTGCTATTGTTTAATATATATTTGAGTTTTTTTCTTTTTTAATGTGTTAAGAGCTCACATGGAGTGATGAGGTCATGTGAAAATGCTTCATGCTGAATTTTGGGTCAAATTAATATTAAATAAGATTTCATGCTAATTTAAAATTAAATATTTAAATATAATTATTTTGTATTATTTAAAAAATCATATAATATTTAATCTTAATATAAAAAAAAATTAATTATTAATTAATTATTTAAAATTGTGGTAATTAATGGGAGGGTTCACCAGGGCGGTTCGCGATTGAATGGCACTGCTGACTGGTCAGTAGGTTTGATGCAAAAATGCGTTTTATTTCAGGCAAGCGATAGAGGTTAGATGGACTATAGTCGTGTGACGTAGTCAGAGGGACCGTAATTAATGAGCAACTGTTGTCAGAGGGGAGCCTCGGTTGATAGTGGTTGAGCATAGGCCCAACGGCGGGCTGAGTGGGCTTGCGACGATGATCGGGCCTGTGAAGTCTGGCTACAATTACTAAGCAGTGAGGGTTCGTCGACGGTTGTGAATGGGTGAAGCGCGGGTTTATTAAACCTCAAAGTTCTCTTGAGTCTCTAACTTAGGGTCCAATCCTTCTCCCAAAAACAGTCTCACAAAACTCCAATCCATGTTCAGGTGGATTTACAGGGAGAAAAAAAATTTAATTCATCTCTCTAAAATCATATCAAAATCATCGAGAAAATATATTAAAACGTACGCTAAATCCATTGAAATGCAAAATCTAGGTTTTCGGTCTTCCAGTTTGAAACAATGTTCTCCTAGAGAGCAAGGAGACCCCTTATTTTCGTTCAAGATGAAAAATTGAGGGAAACGAGAACTTCCTACCACTTAAACCTGAGAACTATATACTCTTTTAAGCTCAAGTGTATTTATTTTTATTTCAGTTCAATCAATAAAATAAATAAATACTTTGCCTCTACAAAATAATTATTTTCATATAAATTTAATTAGATGCCACATAAACAAAATAATAAATTTAAATAAATAGACCATGAATTAATTGAATCAATTTTAAGAATAACATCTAATATATAATTCCTTTACTTATTTGTATTAAATATATGGAACACACACCATAAATTCCCAATCTCTCTTCTTTGGCTATTGCAGTGTGATTTTTCATATATATATATTATTATATATATAATATATATATATTTTTTTTTTTTTTTTTATTTATTAATTTTGGTAGAAACTTTTGCTCTGTATAGAATTATATAACAATTAGCCATGGTAAAAATTTATTCCTTTCACTCATATTTGATATCAAAGTGAACTATGAATGATATGTATGTAATAATAAAATTTTGGGTGTTAGATATGCAAATAGAGTAATTTTTTTTTAAATCCCATATGTATAATTTATGCAAAAAAAAAAAAAATTTCTCATTCCGCTGTGTCAATCTAAAGCTAACAAATATATATATATATGCAGCTCCAGAAAGAGTATATATTTTGAGAAGATGAACATCATTAATTCAGTCTAAAAATACTAAGTGCTATCAACGAGGCTGAGGTTTGAGCAGCTCCTACTAAGAAGCTCTATGAATTCTCTTGCAGAATCTTCGCTGTCAACGCTGTAAGCTACAGGCTTTGTGCTACAGATGAAATGGATGCTTCAACCTCAACTATTACTGAATCACTGATTGCAAGCAGGTACCACCGTGCGGTCCCTTTCAATTCTAGATTTTAGGCTTTTTTGGCCCTACACTATTTTTACGAAACAAAAGGACTGGATCTATGGAACTTCGACGTTCACAAAACTTTTTTACATTTTCTGAAAAGCCTACTGAAAATGCACTTCATGAGAGATTTATTATTTTCCAACATGAAAATAGCCTACAGAAAAAATAAGTTGTGGTCCATTGCTTAGTGGGAGGACCAGACAAATATTTCCCAAGCAAAAGGTGTAAGATGATCCACCAAATTTGTGAAAGAATTTACAAAGATTGCTCTTTCATATCTATTATACAAAAAAATCTGATTTTGATTAGTTCACTTAGAATAGACCTCAAAATCCACCGAGGTTTAGAGTGGTTAGTGGGCGAGCACAGTTGGGAACCCCCCATCCCGGGTTCGAATACACGCTACTAAGGCCTCGCCTCTTAAGTGGGGCAAAACAAGTGTGGGCCAAATACTGGTAGGTTCAGTTGAGGGATTAGTTACGCCGCCAAACACTTTCTTTGGAGTGGTAGCGGGTAGATATCTCATTCCAAAAAAAATAAAAAAAAACTATAGCATTACTGTTCATACTTTTGGTAGCTCATCTTGAACTTTCGGGTGGAGTTTGGCTACCAACAAGGTTCGAAGCTTGCGGGGCTCAAAAGTTCCAAAATAAAAATAAGAAAAAACTGATCCTACTTTTCAAATCTCTGCACAAGCTTCAAAGCTACAGTGTCTATGATTAAAGATAGAGATTGAATGACGAAAACCAGCTAACACTAGGACCCAATACTATACTCCCATCAATGAATGGCAGAGAGATGCTGACCTGAAGGATTGGGCCCCCCCCTAATTCCAAAAGCATCATCATTGCCAGAAATATATGTGTGAATCATAATTCGCAAATGAAAACTGTATAATTATAAGATTATTTAGCAAAAAGATTACTGTTATCTGACAAAAGGGTACCGGAGATATAGTAATCCCTTACACGTGAGTCACCATCTCTAGCGAGAATGCCCTCTAGGTCACCCATGATCCTCGCCAACCAGATCTCAAGGTTCCTCTGCATCTCCTTGAAGCTGTTCCTAATGGAATCCAGTGATCTCCTCATAGCAAGCTTGGCCTGGCCAGTAAGCTCATCTCCAAGATAAGTCTTGGCTGTCTCTGCGTGAAGAGCGTTTAGCTTCTGCCTCATCTCTTTTGCTCGATGCTGGAGTGCGGATGCTTCAACAAGATAAACAGTTTGCTTCTGAGTTCGAAAATCCGGGCTCAGGCTTGGTTCACAGACATCAGTGAGTTGCTGAAACAATGAGAAAAAGATGAACTTTACTTGATCAGGGCAAAACTAGGTGTTAGTTTCAGCCAGTTTATGATTAAAATTTTTCAAACTTGGCTTAACAAATAAGAATTTAAACTTCCAATTGGAATACATTTAGCTGGCGATGACTAAAAAGCAGATCAACAGAAACAGGAAATTAAATGATTAAACGCTTGGTAAGATGAAAGCAAATTACCATTCTCCTACATAAATCATCAATCTTTCCGGCTAGAGATTGGTACCGCTTCCACAGCTTTCTCAAGAGCAAGGGGACCTTTGTCAGCTCCACTTTGTCTACCTTCTCCAAATTACTCAACTCTTGCTCTAGTAATTTTAGCTTGGAGGATACTCCTGCAGCATCATTGTTTACCTTCCATGGATACTCCCTCCTGTAAATAAGTTAAGCCATTTGAGTTACTGAACTGCTGATCTATCAGAGTATGGTGTTAATTGAACTCTATTGTAAGTCACCTTGCTACGTGATGCTTCCCATAGTACGTTGATTCATGGGAATCAAACTGGAGATCCTACAGGGTTGAATCAAATTAGCAAATCAAAAAGCCAAGTCATAAAGCTATACTATCAGAGCAAATTGGATGAGAAGAGAGAGTACTGGAGGAATGAAATTAAATTAGAATATAACTATGAACTGTGTTCATCAATGAAAGCTACAGTCCGAATGCACCCTATCAATAAAATATACATGATTATATTTATTCCAGCCATTGAGTTTAAAAACAAGAAAAGTAACGGTAGGTAAAAAGAACTGTAAGAAATAAAGGCCTTGCTTGTCACGTGAGCTGTAAATGGTAAACGACAAGTTGGTGTTAGGTAGTGAACTTTACACAAATAAACAAAAGCAATCAGCAGACACAAAGATAATGAGCAAACAAAAGAAAAAGGAGGTTAATTAAGTTTCAGTGATCAATTCATTTTTCAAACCAATCCACCCACAGAACCCAATGATTTTTCTATGTCAAAATTTTCTTCCCAGCTAGCTAAAATTGTAATAGGAATACCAAACAGAGGTAAAATCAGGGACAGCCTGCGGGCGGCCCTCGCCCTCTTAAATTTGGTTTCGAATGAACCCTCATGTAAATACTTTAAATATTTATAGTAGGGAGGATTTGCCTATAAACCTCTTAGAGCAATGTACATTATGGAAGCTTTACCGCCCCGAGCCTGTAGTAAACCCTTTCATTTCCGCCGCTAATACTGGCGACTGCTTCAAAGAAAATCCGCCATACCGGAAAAATAAACGGAATCTATACGAAAGATGTCGTAATTCTGTTTTCTTCGTCATCACCTTCGGAGCAAAAGGTTTAAATTTCATAAATTAGAAGCAAAGCGAGGGAAAGATGAGGAACTCCATGAGTATGGCGTGAAGTTAAAGTAGCTACTGTTCACAAATTACGGCTAAGCTGCACCCGTACAAAGCGAAAGTTGGAGAAAGTAATTATATGGACTGAGCGAAAGCAAAAAATAAGGAAGGTAAAATGCCGATGAAATATCCAAATTGTGACAATATCAACCCCTGCAGTATGCCAGATTCGTATGAAACGATTTCAGGAAAATCAATAAAAAAAAAAACTCATCGCTTGAAAAATCCCTAGTCCTAACCTGCCATTCCGCGTTTGGGCCCTCCGTCCATAGCTTGGAAGATGCTGACGCCGGTGAGAAACTCGGCCTGAATCTGTTCCCCCGGCAGTACATCATCGCCATATCATCCAGATCAACGCTCTCCTCAACAAAACAGGACTCCGGCACAGGTTCCATCTCCTTCGGAACCCTAATCGTTCCCATTCGCTCGTAACCACAGCAATAACCACCCTCCACTTCATCCTCCGCGTCCAACACTTCCTCCGCCTCATTTTTCCATAACTCAGCTTCCCGCTCCACCCCCGCCACCGACTCTCTCCTTGACATCAAATCGAGCATCTCATCCCTCTCCGCCACCTCCCCTCTGAGTCTCTCAACGGAGCAACGAAGGTCAGCCTCGGTACGCTCCATCTCACTGATCCGCGACCGGAGCGCCGCTATCTCATCAGCCGCGGCTTCGATACGGTGGAGGAAGCGCTTCTCCTCCTGTTGCCAAGCATGACGGTGGCTTGCGAAGATTTCGACGACCCGGGCATTGGCCTTTGAATCCTCCTTGCGGCGGGAGCTCATCTGGTCGAGCTGCTCTTCGGCGTGGAAGAGCTTTAGAGAGAGGATGCGATTGCGGGATTGCAGGGAGGCTACGTGTGAAAGCGAGAAGCGCGGGATAAACCCTAAAAAAACGGCAAAACTGAGACCAAGATAAGAAGAAAGGAGAGCAGAGGTGTCATCCATGGAGGTTGGATCGGGCTTCGGGTTTGGATTTTCCTCTCCCGCAGCCATTACTGATCAGGAAGCAATGAGCAGAGACGAGTTTCTAAAAAAAATATTAAGCGTAGCCGCGAAAGAGCCAGGGGACTCGAAGCCCAAGTTCCTCGTTTTTATACGGATAGTGAGAGCTATGCTAGTCATAGGCCTATAAGATGAGATCGGAATCCCGACATAAAACTAGGTGAGAGGGAGTAGCCAATTATGTGGCCTAAGGACATCTCCAACCCAACTCCAAGCGCTTGGCGTCCCTCCCCAACTCCAGCAGAATCACAAATTTCCCGGTATTTGGCTGCAGGTGACAGTGGGACGCCAATATTGACGTTGCACTGTTCATCTCCGCCAGTTTTACCTCTCTACCGAATTTGCCGCGGGAAAAAGAGACGACCGTTACCTGTAAAAGTGTGAAAAGTGGAGTTCCATTAGAGATGAATCGCGGCATTTTGTAGTTTCACAGAATTTTGGAATGAAAAATGAGATTTTTGGTTGGAGATGCTTTATATATGGTGAAATCTATGTTGCATGTAGGGCTATCAAAATATGGTCAGGGTCAGGGTCGGACTCGGGTCTCAACCCGAAATTGACCCAACACAGTTCAATCTGACCCGAACCATACCCGTTTTTGCAAACGGGTCAATTTTTCTGAACCCGAACCCGACCCGCTTTGGACATATTTTATTAAATTTTTTTAGTTAATTTAATTTATTTAAATCTAAATCAAATTAAGATAAGATTTCATTCAATTAATTTAAAATTAATCAAGATTAATTTAATTTGGGCAACACTGTTTATAATTTTTTGAAATGTCATTTACTTATTTCATAAAAATCTTTTTAAAATCCTCCTAAATTAATTAAAAACAGGTCAAACCAGGTTGATTTCGTGTTTTCAGGTCAACCTAAACCCAACCCGGTTTTACAAAACGGGTCTAAATCCCAAACCCAAACCCGACTGACACGAACTCGAAATTTTTGGGTCGGGTCAAATATTGACACCCCTAGTTGCACCGATAAACCTATTTATGAAGGCGTGCTGTATCCGATACACCAATACACGGATACGCCTCTGATACGGCACCAATACATGTCAGATACGTCTTTGCAGTATCAAATTAAAATACTATTTAATTTCAAAAGGACACGTGTATATGTTGAAAAACAAAAAAAATTGAAAAAAAAGAAAGACTGGTCGTATTTACTTCTGCGGCTGTGAGTGAGGTTCTCTCATTTCTGAGATGGATTTGAGTCTCTTGATAATATGGAAATATTAGAAATTGCTAATCTTTCACCTAAAGAGCCTGAATTAGAAGCTATGATATTTATTGAAGATGATATAGAAGTTCAAAGACAAGCCACTGAAGAAGCTAATCATATCAATCCTTCTATTGAATAATTGAAATGTTATGCGCTAGACAATTTATGTTTATGCTTTTGTTATTGTACTAGACATTTAATGCTTACTTTTATTTTGATATGTTACAAATGATGGTATTTTCATTTTTTTTTTGTAATTTCAAATATTATGCTTTGATTCTTTTCTTAATTTATATATATGATTTATAAATTATAATGTTGTGTCCGTGCCGTACCCATATCCTGCATTTTTAAGAATTTGATGTGTCACGTATCTGTATCGTGTCGTATCCGTATCGGTTCAACATAGGGAGAAATTATTTTGTGTATACACTGTGTATATAAAAATTTGATAAATATTATGTATAAATATATACACAATATGTACATTCATATATTCGAATGATTCTTCCCATTCAGATTCTGAAAAGAATAATTTCTCTAGAATATGAGGTTGTTTAGTGCCCTAGAATAAATATATAAGACTTATTAACTTGATTAATAAGAAGGTATAAGAAGGTTGGAGGTAAGGTAATAACCATTACTGGTTTTCTTTAGGTATAGAATATTCTCAATAGATATTGAATTTAAATATGTTCATAATAATATTATGATTAAGATTTATAAGATCAATTAAATGATTAAACATAGATAAAAATACTTGCATTAAGTAATATTATTAAAGTTAATCCATATCAAGTTAAGATTAATTATGATTTATAATTGAGAGAGATAATTAGCTCCCTGTATTAAAAATCTATTCAACAATTATAATTAACTCACCAAAAAAGTTCAAAAGAGTCAAGTGTACTAGTAAGGACTTCGAAAATAAGATCAAGCTTCAAACTACTTAGTTGTAAAGGAGTCAATCAAATATAACCATATATATTATAGTTATAATCATGAGCTATATCACCTAAAGTTGACCTCAAAATATTCATTAAAATTGACCTCAAAATATTTAAAATCTAACTAAATATATCAGATGTGTCATGAATTTGAATGTTTCTATATAACAGATTATCAACAGTTTTTCAATCCTCCCTTAAGAGCCATCCAGGTATAAACAAAATATCTTAATGAATGCTTTTTATGCTAAACAAAATTATGCCAAGCAGGAGTGTCATCATTTGCAAAATATTCCATGTAGAAATCTTTGAATTTGACATTCTCTAGTTTATCCCAGTAGATGTGATTCAAGGAATTAAGAGTAATGGTTAAATATTGAATAAAATCTCTAAATAGAGAGCCTATATGATCTAAAATATCCCAGACATCTCCAATCATCTAATCAGCAAGCATAGGCATTGTTCTGAACCGATTTCCAAGGGGAAATATAACATGAATTTAGCCAATTGGAGAGAGAGAAGGTCTGTTATAACATCTCAATATAGTTTCATAGACCTCCTTGACCTCAAGACCTCCTTTAGATGTAGGCTTACAAGTGTTAGCCCAAAAAATAAGATGAAGGCGTCTAAGTTGAGATCCCCTGAAATATAAGAATTTAGAGCATAATTTCCCAATAGCCTTGTAAATAGTTTTAGGAATGATAATGCCTCTAATCCAGTATGCCACCATATTGGTGATAGCAAACTTGACATATTGTAATCTACCTTCAAAAGAAAGTAGTCTAGATTTCCAACCCAAAAAGAGATGAGTTACTTTATCCATTAAAGGTGAAAAATCAGTGAGTTTGGTCCTACCTAGAGATATCGAAATCCCTATATAAGAAATTTTTGTGGAGATGTTAGGAATTTGAAGAGAATTCAAAATGTCAGGAGATGGAGGTGTGAGAAGGGAAAGAATAAGAGAGCTTTTTTTACAAGTTAAGGTGCAAGCTAGATAGGTTTGAAAATATATCAAGGGTTCTCATGAGATTGCTACATATAGAAATATCAGCCTTCCCAATAACAAGCAAGTCATCAGTGTAGCTGAGATGGGATAAGTGAAACCTCTCAAAAGTTAAAGCCCTGAAACTTTTGAGCATCATTAAGGGAATCAATAAGGCAAGAGAGAGCGTCCATAATAATATAAAAGAGTAAGGGCTGAGAAGACAACCTTGCCTTAAACTAGACAAGGAAGAAAAGAATCCCTCAAGCGCCCCATCAATACATATGGAGAAAGGAATATCATTGATACAAGCTTTAATCCAGTTGATGAAAATGTCGGGAAATCCTTTATGAGCCAGTCTAGCAAAAAGAAACTGTTTAGAGACCGTGTCAAAAACTTTCCTGATGTCAAATTTTGCACAAAAAATATTTGTTTTTTTAGCTCTTTTTAAACAAGCTAAGAATCTTTTCCACCATAATAGAATTATATATGGAGAGGTAGGAGAGCCGTTTAGAAATGAAAGCATCTTGAATCTGATGAATAATTTCAGGCATAATCAGTTTCATATGAGAAGCAAGAACCTTTGCAATAATTTAATGAAAAATGTTGCAAAGAGCAATGGGTTTAAAGTCCTGAATATTCTCAGCATGTGTCTTTTTGGGATGAGAGCTATGGTAGTGGCTTTAACTCTTTTAGGGAGGTAACATTTAGAGAAAAAAGATTTGACAGCTTTGCAAATCAAGGGCCAGTTATGCTCCAAGTTTTCTTGTAGAAATCAAAATTAAATATGTTAGGTCTAGGTGCAAAAATTTGAACAACCAGAGAAAATTGCCGAATGAATTTCTTCATTAGTAACCAGCATAGTAAGAGAGGAAATTGCGGTGCTAGTAGCAATATTGCCCGTAGGGATAATGTTTATGTCAGTGTGCATTAAGGGTGTTGAGTTGTATAAATCCTTGAAGTGATTTATAATATTGTGAACATTGTTATCACGAGTGAGGTCAGAACTAAGGATAGATACAGAGAGGGTGCATCTATTGAAGGAGTTTCTCTTGTGGAACTTGGAATATAGAAATTTCATATCTTCCTCTCCGTTAGTTAGTCACTTGACTTTAGCCCTCTGAATTGTACAAGAGGCCCATAAAATGTTATAAAATGCAAGATTAGCATTAATCTTCTTAATCTTATTACATAACAATGTGTTAAGAGGATCTCTGTCTATAAGGATCTGACATTGATGTTGTTTAATAGACAAATTTGAACATTTAGCAGCAAGCATGCAAAAGGATTTCCAATTCTTGTCTTTGATATTCTCTTTCAATAATTTCAACTTGTTGAACAAGCAAATGATTGGGTTTCCTTGAGAAGGGGAGGAAAATATGTTTAAAAGTGTGTTCTAAAAATTTGGAATATTTCTCCAATAGTTTTTTAACATAAATCTTTAATGAATTTTCCTTTAAGGATTCACTTTAAGTATAAGCAGGAAATGATTAGAAATAAGACTATTAAGCACCCTATAATATGAATTTGGGAAGGTGTTGATCCAAGAATCATTTACAAGCACACGATCTAGCTTTAAATGAATCGGTTGTTCAAAAATTTGATCAAACCAATTGAAAAAGTTACTAATAAGTAAGCTCCAATAGATTAGTATCAAATATAAAGGTGTTAAACAGATTGAGTCTAAAGGCAACAGTCTCATTTCCACCAGATTTTTCATATTGAGATCGATAGTAGTTAAAGTCTCCTAGCACCAACCAAGGCATAGAGCCATTAGGATTCATATTTTTCAGATCTTCCCAAAGTAATAAGCGTTCCTAAAAAAGTTTGAAGCATATACCACATAAAGTAAAATATTCTGATGAGAGCCAAACTTAATAATACCAGTAGTCATTTGCTTAGAAGAGAAAGTA